AAAAATTGCTGGTGTTTTCCATGACTATCTAGCTGATGGCTCCTCACTGGCATGGACTTTGAAACATCGGGACAGTAACTGATATTTGCAGACTTGCAATAACCCAATCTGCTACCTACAGGAGAGCCTTCTGTGCCTCTCCCAAGGAAATGTTTTGATTTCCAAGGGCTTTAAGCTGAGCTGGAGGCGGTGACAGAGCAGGTGAGTCATCCCAGCCCACACCCGTTCTCTGCTGATGGGCCCCAGCATCTGTCTTGGGTGATATAGGAAATAGGTTCTCTGAGCCAACTCAGGTCCTAGGGAGGGAGGGCTGACATCATGCCCAAAATCTCCCCCTTCTTCCTGGTAATGAAAACAAAAAAAGTGATGGCCTTTGCCATCATAATGGAGATAGTCTCAGAAAAGTACCAGCATATTATAAAGTTCAGTGGATACAGATCACAGAGTGGTGATGGACCCTATATCAGTCAGTGCTCAGTACAGAAAGATATTTAATATATCAATATGTATGAACCTGCAAAGTAGGCTTACAATGGCTGCCTGCAGCATCACATGTGAATGAATACAAAAGGTCTGTTGGTGTGTTAGAGATCCAAAGGACCCAGTCAAATATCAAAAGCCTAGAGCTCACTGTAGAGTTCTATGCAATCTATATCAGGAGGCTCAACGGTCTGCAGTAGAAATCTGAAGAGTCTACATTAAAAGGCTGAAGAGTCTGTGCTGGGAGCCAGTGGATAGACATCAAGGCAAAGGCAAAGACTGGAGTTCCTCTGAAGAAACAAAACTGAGATGTCCTTCTTTTCTTTTTTATTCCATTCAAGCTACAAGCTTATTGGTTGGTGCCATTTGCATCATGGGTAGGTCTTCTGTCTTCAGTAAATCCATTCACCATACCCAGAACTATTCTAATACAATCAGTTGGGTGGTTTTTTTTACTCAAATTGAGTAAAAATAACCTGGTAACTGGTAACAACAGTTAACTATCACAATCCACTCCTTGTCAATTTGTCAGGCACATTTCCTTAAACCATACTTAGCCTTCAGATACAAACACAAATTCATTATTATGCTTAACATGGTACATCTTGTGTATAAATAGAAGTACACTAATTCCCTCCCCAGAATAGAAGGCAAGTTTTCTTTGGGTAATGCTTACTGCTAACATTTCATAACTTCAGTATTATAGGCTTAACAATACTTAAGAACCAATCCATTATACTACAAAAGTAGCATATTAGGGGGCTGGGGATTTAGCTCAGCGGCATAAGTGCCTGCCTTGCAAGTGTGCGGTTGTGAGTTCGATCCCTGGTACTGATAAAAACAAAAAAAAAGTAGCATATTAAGAAAGAACTTTTACAGCTATAATACTCATCTCTGTAACTTATCAGTGGATTGTAGCTGGTATTTGTAATTATCATCTTCTACTATCCATTTTTTTTTCTCTTGGCCTTCAGCAAGCATCTCAGCTGGTCTTTCTATCATTCCTGAAGGATCTTGGCCATTCATTGTCCTCCCTGGGTTGAGTTGCTACAGTTTCCCACAGATCTTAGTAACAGCACATGGTAATACTAGGAGGCACCCTAAGGAATCCCCTGTGCTACATGTATATTCTTCCTCCATTGTGGAGTAATAGTCCGATATCCCCTTGGCAGTTGGGTCAGTCACCCCTGCCAGTACCATAACTCCCTTTGTAGATTATTTAGTCAGAGGCATGAGTGGACCAAAATAACACGAGGGAAGTCTTAGCTTCCAGTTCAATGGAATCACTACTGTGTTTCATGGTATAAGCCTTCCCCTCTCTGGAACTAAGACTTTTAGGCCAGCAGAGGATAAAATCATGGGAATAGGAAGCAAAAATTTTGCTAGTGGGTCACTAAGGGTAATGATGAGTGGTACATTCCCACTTCCATCCCTTGATTCCTGGACCCATGAATCCTGGATATGGGAGACACAGTACCATATAGTGGTCATAGACTCAAAGCATATACAGCTTTTTAAAGAACCTTGTCCTACAAGCTATTGTTTCCTAGCTGGTGCTATAATTGCATCTTCAAAAGACCTTTCCACCTATTAATACAGCTACTTCTGAATGGTAAAGAAGATGGTAGAACCAGTGAATTCCAAGAGCATGAGCACGCTGGCTCATTTCTTTGGACATAAAATGTGTTCCTTAGTCAGAGACAATGCTGTGGGGAATGACATGACAGTGGATTAGGCATTCTGTGAGTCCATGAATGGTAATTTGACAGAAGCAGTATATATGTAAGGAAGAAAAGTCCATACCCAGAACAAGTGTGGATGCCACTAACGATAAAGTGCTGCCCTTTCCATAATGTAAGTGGTCCAATATAATCAACCTACCACAGGTATAAGCTGATCCGCTGGTAAATGGTGCCATATCAGAAACTCACAGTTGGTTTCTGCTGTCAGCATATTGCGCATTCAGCAGTAGCTTTTGCCAGATCAGCTTTGGTGAGTGGAAGTCCATGTTGCTGAGCCCATGCATAATTTCCATCCCTTTCACTTTGGCCACTTTGTTCATGAACCCACTGGCAATGATAACAGTAGCTGGATGAAGAGGTTGACTGCTATTTACAGAATGGGTCATTCTACCTACTTGGTTACTGAAGACCTCTTCTGCTGAGGTCACCTTTTGGTAAGCATTTATATGGGATACAAATATCTTTACATCTTTTTTTCCATATGGAGAGGTTTATCCACCTACCTCTTCCCCAAATATCTTTGTCACCAACTTTTCAGGAACCATATTCCAAGTTCCTGGCCATCCAGCACATCACTGGCTACAGTCCATGAATCAATATACAGTAAAACTCTCTTCACCAAAGTGGTAATTGGTTCATTCCTGAAAAATGTTGTGCTCTACTAGCAACACCAGCAATGCAATTAGCAGAACTGAGTTTGTAGGGAGAACAGTGAGTAGGAATTAAGCAAGGACAAGAGATAGCACCCTGGGCATCTCCCCAGATTGTGGGAATATTAGAAATACGGGAGTGAATAAAGATAGCTTGAGAGCAAAAGAGAATAAATTGATTTTTAATTCCAAAAGCCATCCTCCACTAGGGAGACAAATAGATGTCTAAGGTATTTTTTTTCCAGACTCCCACACCGGCTCTTTTAACCTAAAGAAGCTAGCCTATTGCAAATCAGCAGGGAAGACACTAACAGGCTTCTAGTCTGCTGAAGCTGACTCTCTACAAATCCCATGGAGAACTGGCACAGGAAAGCTCTTCAGTGAGATTTACTACCTAACCCTATGTTTAATCCTCATTTATTCTTTCATTCTACAAATATATACAAAGAAACCACTATACACAATACAGGGCTTTGGAGAGGCAGACATCAGCTTGTTCACACCTCTTTCCCTCAACTTGTATCACTTGTCAGTTTTTTATCAGTCAAATGGAGAAAACAGTGCAAAGAAGGATGCAAGGAAATCATGGACATGCTTGGCACAGAGTAAATGTTTTAAGAAATATAAACTATAATTTAAATATAAACTATTAGAAGATTGCATGTTACATTGGATATTTTCATTTGCCCCTCCAGGTACAATCTTCATTCTTTTCCATGCTGTGCCCTAAAATTATCCTATCTGGACAACATCAAGGCTCCCTTTCCCTGATTTCCAGTTCATATTGGTCTATGGGAAGCTCTAATAGACCACAGAGAAAGAAAAAAGTGAAGACAAGAGTTTTTATTCCCACAACTTTTTACCTGAATCCCTTGACCCAAAGTCCCAATTTCAGTAAGATGACCCTTCACACAACATCTCTGCCTCCAAAAGTAGAGGAAGTAAGATCCTGCTATCACTAAAACCAAAATATTCCACTATCCAGTTGCTGCCCTACACGCTGCTTCAAATTATCCAATTTAAATGTACCATCTGTTTCCTGGTGGTCCCTAATATACAACGTATAGAACAAGAATAGACCTGGAAATACGAAGACCTGAATTGAAGTATCATTCCTATCACTACCTCACTCTATGGCCCGTCAGTCTTTCCTTGTGTATGCCTCACCTCCTGGCCTGTAAAACAAGAGGATTGGACTTTTCAGTTCTTTTGTGCTACAACTCTCCACTGAGTATTCTGTGAACCCAGAAATGTGATGAACATAGAGAATAAAGCTCCCTGTTGATTCAGGGAATCCCAGTAACCACAGAGCACCCTTTGAGTAGGAATATTACTTATCTCCCCATTGCTGGAGTTTTCATCTGCCTCGTCTAGAGGTGCCCCCCACCTCTGAGTCACAGAAAGTGGGCAAGGTGGGACAGATCTCCGATTTCAACGTCAGAGGGCCAGGGCAGTTTGAATCCAAATCTTGACTGGTCATCTATTACAATTTTCATTTCCTGTTTCACCTGGGAGCTGGCCTGTGGTGAAAAGATCGCTCTAAGAACTTTAATCGCCAATTTGTCTTTGATGTTCTTTCCACTGCATGTTACTCTGAGCAAGTTTAAGGCCTTCGGGGGTCCTAAATTACAGCTTTTGAGATGCTCTCTGGACTAAATCGACTTGCTCCAAAAGGTGGGGCCGCGGCAAGAGAAAGCATGAAGCGTGGTATTACTGGTCTTCAAGACAAGTATCGTTGTTCCTGTCTGGCCCCGGGCTTGCCACCTCGGCAGCCTCCTATCAGCGAAGGCCTAAGGAAGCTGGGGTTCGCCAGGGGCCTCCAGGGCACGAGAGGTCGCCCGGCACTGCGAAGCGCCCCCACCTGCCCATCCCCTACCCCCGCCACACTCGACCCAGGACTCCGGGACCGCAGTAGACAGCAGACACACGGTGCAGTGAGGGGTCTTGGGACCCTTCCAGCCAACCTCTGGCGGTATCCTGGTCCTACCCCCGCGCAGATGCACCGCCCACGAAAGGATTTCACGGGCATAGAGTACAGGAAGAGCCATAACTGTTCGTTTGTGTGTGCGCTTGCGCAACTCTGACTATACACGTATATGGGGGCGGGGCCAAATCGGGGGTGGGGTCTAGTGTGGCTATTGCACGCGTGCGCAGAGAGGACTCTGACGCTTGGTCCTAGCCGCCAATTTCTCAAAACTCAGCTGCTAATCTGCTCGGTGCTCACCAATGGTAAGGTCCCGGTTTGTATAACTGCTAGGGAGCTACGAGGACCTTCCCAGTTCAGAGGATCATGCAGTGAGCTTTCCTCAGAGAACATTGGCGCCTAAGGGTTTAGATACCCGTTTCGCCTACCTTCAGGATCACAGTTCAAAATTGCCGTTGCTGCGAGCTTCAGTTTCCCCACTAAAGTGAGGAGATGCCCTGCAGCGACCACGTTTTCCCGGAACGGGGAAAGAGTGGCCGAACTTGGCCGCCGTGAAGACACGGGCTGTATGGCTTCTGCGGTCACCAAACTCTTGGGGCGCAGCCCCGGAGATCTGATTAGGAATGTGTCTTGCTCCAGCCCCATCCCCGCACAGGCTGCTGCTGCTCCTGCCGCTGCCTTCAGGAGCCTACCAGTGCAGGATGGGGATGTGGAGGTGGCAAGGCCGCAAGTAGCTATGTCCTCTTTCTTAGAGCCTAACAGATAGGCAATACAGTATCACCTGTTACGTTAATAGGCCCCACAGGGATGAAATGACCCACAATGTCATAGGAATCCAGAGAAAGGACACGGATTAGGTCTGTTTAGGGCCACTAAGGATTCGGGGCCCAACAGGAGCTCCCACACAAGGCCCAGCTGATGGGGTGGATTTCTGCTTGGGCTTCTCTGTGGCTCCATCTGTTTGGAGGGGGACAGAGTCAGGGGAAGATAGGAATTCCAGTGACCTCCACTTAGCATGCCTAGGGGCCAGCGTCAAGCTCCTGGGTGCCATGCTCTGGCCTCTGGGACTGGCCCTAGTGCAACACTGAATATCCATGCTTCTTCATGACCTCTGTTGAGGAACTTGCAACTCCTCAAGTCCAAAGCCCTGGTCTTTCATTTAAGGTCCAATTTTCCCTAACTCCTCATCACACCTTGATTGCTCTCTTATCACCTAATAACCACCACTCCCAGAGATTCGCCTCTGAGTGTCAATTCTTGATATTTCCCCAAAATCTGTTTCCCTAATCTCTGGCCTGCCAAACCTGCCCTTCCCTCAAAGTTGGCTAAAATCCCACTCCCTCTCCAAACTTGATAACTTCTTCTTTTGTTCTAGTATGCTCTGAAGAATCCTGAAGTTGTGTAAATGGACTCTCCTCAAAAGGTAACACACTACTTAAAGTTGACAATTTATATGATGGTCCTCTTCAAATAAGGAAGGACTGGGCATGTAATCTCCACACTGGGAAGGCCAAAGCTGAAGGATCACTTGAATACAGAATTCCAGACCAGTTTGAGACTCCATCTCAAAAAAAAAAAAAAAAAAAGAGGAGGATACTGGAGATGTAACTCAGCGGTAGAGTGCTTATCTAACACATGTAAAACCCTGGGCTCAATACCCACTAACCCGAAAAAGAAAAGGAAAAAGAAAATTCTATGACAGACGATATGTTCCTATTTATGACTTGGAAAATGTCACTTTAGCCCTTGAGCTTCCCTGATTATTCCCCTTACGCCTTGAATCCCTTATTAAATGATTATTTTCCTCCAGGACAGAAACAATGCTTTAGTAAAATGCAAAACTTTGAAATCTTTTGAAACTGTGAGACAAATACAGACATGTGGAGAAAATGGACCTACAACAAATATTTTTGCACTCTTCACAAATATGTAATCACTTTTGTTAGTTTGTGAAAAACACATATTGTGCAGCTTTGTTTAGACTTCCAGATTAGCACAAATCAGTGTAATAGCATATAAAAGAAAGAATATTGGGGTGAGTAGAAAATTGGCCTTTTGATTTAGTTTGTTATGTATTAGCCTGATGAACTCAGGAAGAACTCTCCAGACATCTCTGGAAATGCAGTTTTCTCATGGTCAGTTTGATTTAGAGATAATAAATATACCAGCTACCATCAACTCTACAAGATAATGGAAAAGGTCAAATGTGAAATGCAATTAAGTATCTGTTCAAAAAACAACCCTCAGTAAATTTTCTAATGACATTTTAAGCTTCAGATTTTGTTACTGATAAGCTTCTAGGTACTGAGTGACCATTTTAAAAATCAATCAGTTCTGAATCTTTGCCAGTTTGTGAGGAAGGGTGAAAGCTAGGAGGAGCAAGTAACCTAGCATGACCAACAGGGGGAGTCAGGTTTTATAGAATCCTTTTCCCTCACTTCTATGTGCGATGGCCACTTTGAGACACTTTGGCCCTCAGTCACCTGGGTAAAATGTGAGTAGAGGAATAACAGTAATAACAACTGACAGCTACTGAGTACATTCTATGGGCTGTGTACTATTTGAAGCACATTCCATGTACCCAGCCATTTGATCACTGCCACCACCCTATGAGAGAGGGACTGTCAGTATCTCTGTTTCATGAGTGAGGAAACAAACACAGTTTAGTTATTTGCATAAGGCACCCCATAGCAAGCAGGGAAGCCTAGGATCAATCCCATATAATCTAGCTCTAGGTCTATGCCCTCAGTGATGCTGGCCAGCTAATTCTCTGTAGAGTTATTGTGAGGATTCAGTGAAATAATGCACATAAAATACTCAGCATAGTTCCTAGTGCAGAACTCTTATGATTAGTGCATTGTTGTAAGCTATAAGTAGAGTAATACCTATAGGTCTAACGCACAGTTCCTGACACAAAGAAAATGCTCTAGAAATTGGTTCCCTTGCCTACAGACATAGGGGAGATAGAGAATATGTGCCACTCTGCAAGGAGATGCAGGAATGCTCCTTTATCCATGGTAGTTTATCCTGAGGATAAGAAATTGGCAGTGGGTGTGGTACCACACGCCTGTAATCTCAGCACTCTGGGAAGCTGAGGTAGGAGGATCATGTTTGAACTCAGCCTAGGTAATTTAGCAACTTTGTGAGACCCTGTTTCAGAATAAAAAGGGCTAGGGAGGTAGCTCAGTGTGAATATCTTGAGTTCAATCTCCAGTACTACAAAAAAAAAAAAAAAGAAGAAGAAAAAGAAAGAAAAGTTGCACAGCCTTTCAAATATGTGTTTCCTACAGACAACTTCATGTCTCTACTCCTGCTTTTCTGATTGATATGGTTTAAGTTTAAAATGGCCCCTAAGAATCCAGAGGTGGTGACACACTCCTGTAACCCCAGCACTTGGGAGGCTGAGGCAGGCAGGTCACTATGAGTTCAAGAACAGTTCGGGCTACAAAGTAAGTTCAAGGCCACCCCAAACTGCATAGTAAAACTCTGTCTCAAAAAGACTAAATAAATAAATAAATATTTAATAAATATTTTTTAAATAAATAAAATGACCCCCATGTGCTTGAAAGGTGATTGAATTATTGTCATACTATAGTACCCCTAAATTGCTGTTAGGAGATGGGGTCTAGTTGGAAAAGGTAGGCCATTGGAGTGTGATTGGAAACAGTGCTTCCATGTCTGCTTCCTGGCTACTAGGATGGGAGCAGCCCTCCACCAGGCTGTTTCTGCTATGCATCCAGCTGTGGACTGAAACTTCTAAAACAGTGAACCTATCCTTTTCATTGTGGGTGTTGATTCTTAGGTTCCAGTGATAAGAAAAGTGATTAAGACACTAATGTCTCTTCTTTATTGCCTTTATGATCTTCTGAGAAGAAAGGTTTCCTTGGGCTGGTAACAGCTTGAACCTAATGTCAGTGTCACAGAAGGTGGAATTGGCATGAAATGCTACCAGTATTCATGCATCTTCTAAGGCCGTTTCACTTCCGTTAACTGGGATGAAACACATTTGCAAGACCAGGGACTGGAAACTTTTCGTCCTATGACTGATTCCTATGTCAGCCATCCAGGATCCACCACACACACACACACACACACACACACACACACACACACACACACATCTGCCCATATACACGCTCTCATAGTCTGTGACCTCTCATATATTCAGTGCAATATATTCATATATTCATTCACCCACTCCAGACGTATGTCTGTGTCTGGGATCATTTGCATACAACACAAAGCGCACAGCCAGTCTTTACCTCCCCAGAGTCCATTCATCCATTCTAGCAACACGTATATGAAGAATCCTATGCATCAGGCATCATGCTGGGTACTTAAGCATTATTTAGCCACTAAATTTCACCCACATCTATTTCCCCACACTCATAGACTTCCTACACTGTAATGTCTTTATGTACACCTCACTACATATAATGTTCAGCATATATATATATATGCCCTTAAAAACATTTTTCATTCATATTCCTAATGTGATCTTGCTATGTTTAGAATGCGCTCAGATTTTGCTTTGCCATTTTTCTATTTGTTTCTTTATCGCTAAAATGGCAGGCTTAACCTAAATGTGATAGCTTGTAAAATAGCACAATTTGGGGGCTGGGGATTTAGCTCAGTGGCATAAGCACCTGCCTTGCAAGCAGGCGGTCGTGAGTTCGATCCCCAGTACCGATAAAAATGAAAAAGACAAAAAAAAAAAAAATAGCACAATTTGGGGACAGGATCTGACTTTGCTTGCCTGCTTTCTGTCTTCCAGGAAAAAGCTATGTATCTTGACCAGGATGGGTAGGAAAAGGAATTGGTGAGCAGGAGTAGCTCAGATTTCTCAGTTGCAAAAGGTCTGTAGGCTGTAGAATCCCCCTGATCAGGATGTCAGCAAGGAAAAGCATGGATCCACACACCCAACCCTAAAATCAGCTCTTCCCAAATTGAGAAAACCCACAAATAACCAGCCACAGTTCGGGAAGCTGACATCCTTCCTGGCAAACTGCATGGGTGGTAACCTGGGTTTCTAGGTCCTGCTTTCCTTTTTTATCTGTTTCTAACCTCCCACCTCCTCACAGGGCCCAGTTCTGTCCCTTTCATACCCAGTTTTTATGCAAGTGTAAAACTTCTTGGCACATCCTAGAGCCAAAAATTCAGAATTAAAGGAGCCCTCTTCTAACCAGAACACCAGAAACAGTAAAACCTGGTGGAGAGGTACTGACCCAGGGAGTCAAGGATGCTTTCAAGTTTCTCTAAATACAGGTACAAACAGGAAGGGGCAGTCATTTTGTGGAACAGCTAAGGGAGACACCCATCCTTACCATTCTGGCAGACTGGGGGCTCTTCCACCAGGGCTATGGGGATCATGAGGCCATTGCATGGTGGAAAGAGTAGGCCAAATGGTATAACTGCCTGAGCCACTTCTATGAGGGATAAAGTTCAGGTGGCCCTGTTCAAAGGGTTGCTTCCCTGGATGCCTCAAAATGATGATTTGAGATGCTGAGGAGAGAATAGTTAGTTTTACATTTCACAACATTAGATCTTGGCTTATGGTCAGCTGGGGAGTTAAATCTTCAACACCAGGAAGGCTAGAAGCTGGTACTGAAATAAAAGTACCAGGACAAACAATTTATAAATTTCAAGCCTATCCCCCAAGAAATATGAAAATGAGCACAGTGTGCTAGATACAATGGAAGATAAGAGATTCCCCTTAGCCGGAGACAACCAGTAAGGACAAGATGTTAAAGAGAGATTAGAGCTTTATTGAGACATTCTCCCTGATGAAATCAGAATCGAAAGAACACTGGAAAGGGTTGGCCACTGTTTGGGCACAAATACAGATTCCCACCTCAGGGAATCTCGGTATCCTAAGTTCCTACAATTCCCAGCCCCCTATTCCTAAAAAGAACCCTCCTTGAAATCTACCCCCACAAACCTGGGAAAAGAATAGGGCACTTAGAACCTGTGCTAATTGACTAACAGGCTTGTGGGCAATAGAAGTAAGTCAAAACAAAGCATGAGAAGAGAAACGGAATGGAGAGAGTAGGAGGAACAAGAAAAAGAAAAGAGAGGAACGAAAAATCCAAAGAGGGGACATACTGATAAGGTAGAGCCCCCAAAGTACAAATATTTCATTACTTTATTAGACTCATTCCACCCACTTCCCCAAAGCAATGGTGACATTGACAGTTGTGACAAGGCCCATACAGTTCTGCATTTTTTATTTCCCTGACTGCACTGAAAAAAAGAAAAAGAAACAGATACACCAAAAGCCACAGAAGGGCATGAGGAACTCAGAGGAAAGAGGGACGGTCCCCCAAGAGGGCAAAGTAATAGAGAAATGAGGCGAGGGGGTTGGTTATTCATTTTAATGGGAAGAAAAGTCCAAAACAGATTGTAGTAGCTTCTCTGCCCCAGCTACCAGGCTCTGTGGACACCCCTTACAGAACCTGCTTTTCTTTTCCAGTTGTCTTGCTCCTCAGAAAGAATATCCTGATGGTTTTGGAGACTTTGACTGTCTTGTGGGAGGTTCTGGTCAGGGGAGGTTTCACGGAGGGCCATTCACAAAGCCTCCTGCAGCAGGTACTGGACTGCTAGGAATTTTGAGAAACAAACTCCTAAATGCAGTTCTCTGTGAGGACCTCATCTGATCACCAATCCACTTACACTAGTCTTCGGAAGACCTCTTGTTTAGCCTTCCTATTCACTTTCCTTCTGGTACAGATGACTTCCTGGTGCTGCTGGATCCAACCCATGCCTGGTGAGTAAGGCCCCTATGAAGGTTTGTCCCCCCAAGAGGGGAGACTGGTTGTGCTGAAAGGAGTCCACAGGGGCATCCCTGGGCTGGTGTATGTACTCCTATAGTGCCTGCCAGCCTTGTAAGATTCTCAAGATAAGTGCTTTCTCCATGCCTTTGGGTATATCACCTTCCTAATCTCTCTTGGACAATGCACTATGGATTCACATGCACTGTTGTTTGAGGCCATGGCATCCTGTGGTACATTCAGCAACTATCCATGACAGATGCAGGTGAAGCTGAACTTCAGGGCTTGCTGGTCACCAGTGCTGAGTGGCTGGTATTAGTTCTGATTCTAGGAAAGTTCTCCTAGTTTTAAGTATTGGTGCATCAGGGAATGGAGAAGAAAGGAAAAGAAAAGCCATAGTAAAAGGAACTAGAAGGAACAACTCCTCTGCCAAGTGCTCCCATACAGCACTTGTGGAAACAGCCCCTCCTAAATTTGGGAGAGACTGGCTGCCCAGAGAAGTCCCCAAGGACAAGAATCAGGGTCTCCACCGACCGCTCTGAAACCCAATGCCTTTGGGATCTGAGTTTTTCAAGACATGCAATAGACAAAGACACACTGCAAACCAATTAACCCCCTGAGCCCTTTCAATACCTTCATTAATGTCATTTCTAAGAGGGGAATTACCTGAATATAGTCCCCACTTATTGGGCCAAGGAAGCCTCTGAGTTCCCTAGATGAGACATCAAAGATATGGTGCTGAAGGAGACAGATCTTCACGCTAACCTGGAAACTCTGGTTCTCTCTTAGTGTTCTGGTATCCTACACACTGCCCAACCCCTGAAGAAACAGGGAAGAGGACCCTGGGACAGGCTCAAAACCCAGGTAGATGCAGACCCAAGAGATTTCCCATTGTTGAAAGCTAACCCAAACTTGGGAGGGAGAAAAAAAAGGCTGGAGGACAAACAAAAGACTGTATGGAAGTAGCCAGCACAAACCTGACAACTCTCTATAACTCAGACTTCATTATCCATCCAGCATACAGGGGAAAGAGAAATTTCAGCTGCATTTAGCTTATTTGACCCTCATTAATCTAGTATACATTAGAATTTAGCTGCTCTCTGTCCATCTAAGACAGGTCCCAGAAAAAGCAAGCAGAGCCTGACTTATCTGAATCAGGTTCCCTAACTGCAGCAACAAGACAAGCAAACTATAATTCACAGTTTCCACTCTCCTCCCTAGATCCATGCACCTTCCCCTGATACCAGCCTCAATGAACTCCCAAATCTCCAGTGCTTACTGATTCTCACCAGTGTGGCTCAAAGGGTTAAACCAGGACTTCTTAGACAGTTAGGACACAAGCTCATTCACCAATGGGGACCCAAGAATGGCTACACACAACCAAACTAGTGCTTCTTGTAGCGATTCTTTGGGGTTTCACCACACCCTGTTTTGTCACAGTTGAGAGCACCTGGATTCTTCCCTAGCCCAAGGCTACCTAGGAGGCTGGGGAGCTCCTGGGTGATGGCCCGCTCAATCTTCTCCAGAAAGCACCCTCCCATGTAGGAGCACTGCTGAGAGAGGAGTTTGAAATTGGAAATGGGGTTAATGCCAAAGAAGTCCTTGTAAGCCTCACGATTGGGAAGGTCAAACTTGCTGACATTGGTCTTTGCCAGAATGGTCTTGAAGATGTAGAATTTATCAGGATCTTCCACAATGTCCTTAAAGACCAGTTCGCCATCACTAAAGAAGGTCATTTTGTCTTTATAAGTCTGCAGATAACGGTCAACCAACAGGGCATGAATGCGGACCCGGATGGCATGCTGACGGATGAAGGCAATCTTATTCTCCAGTCTGTTCTCAATTACCTGGTTCAGGTCTTCCAGGAGAGAGATCTCTTCTTTGAGGAACAGTTCCCGGTGGGTGTCAGGCTTATACTCTTGTGGCCAGAAGGAACTGACATAAACCCTTGGGGGCTCTGTGACATTGATGAGAGGGGCCAAGCTCCAGAAGAGGGCTCCATACACACGCATGAGCATTTGTGTGGCCAGGTTGTCAGCCTTGTTCAGGATAATTCTTATCTGGGACTCACGTCCCTTCAGCTGACGAAAAAGCATCTCCAGCTCCAGACCAACATCCAGCTTGGTAGGGTCAAAGACGACAAAGATGAGGTCAGCTCTGTCGATGAACCACTGGCATACATCGTTGAAGGGGTAGCCTTGGGGAAATAAGAGGGAGAAGTCAAGCTGAGTAGGCCACATTCAATTCACCTTACACCTCTCTTTTGAACCAAACCACTCTATGGACTGAAAGAAGTCAGAACCAGGGATTTTCTGGGTTTATAAATACTGTTGAAAAATGAACTGCATGCTCCCTTCTCTTTATCAACCTTCAACAAAGAACCGCTTGATTCTTGATTTAATTTACAGTAGAATCCAGATCTCCAGGAAACCAAAATACTTGTTCAAAGTGGAGATGCTCCAACTGTCTTAAAAGATGATCTAGGGCAGTGGCAAAGGTATAAAAATAGAGCAGTCAAGGAATTAGAAGAAAGTAAGAAAGAATATCTGATTTAGGGTAAAGAAATGTGGGCCTAGATGGAATTTGGGGGTTGCCATTGGCTAGCTGGATAGTAAATGCTCCTAAACTCTACCTCTTTGGTTACAAAATAACAAGAACAATGACACCAAAACTGATGTAAAAATTATTGTGTGGCAATTAAATAGAAAAGTACCTAACTAAGTCTCTGGTCATATAACAGTGTTTAATATATTTTAATGCTTTTTGTTGTTTATTTCTTTGATTTTCTCATTTACAAATTAAGGCAATAAAGAATATCTATCTTGAAAAACAGTGGCCAGCCAATAATGCATAAAACTACCCAATGCATGATAGGGATACAATAAATTTATTTTGCTATAAGAATTATTAAAGGGGCCAGGGATTTAGCTCAGCTGCATTAAGTACCTGCCTGGCAAGCATGAGGTCATGAGTTTGATCCCTAGTACCAAAAAAAAAGAAAAGAATTATCAATGATAATATTACTACTAATAAGACAAGATCTACTTATATCCCAAGTGAAAATCATAATCATAAACTGAGATCTGCCATCTGGTCATGTTTTCTTATGACTCCCTTTTCTAGGACTCACCAATGTACATGGAGACAGTCTTGTCATGGCAGTACTCAGTGGTCTATGTCATAGTCTCATATCTATACCAAGCTCAAAGTGCCTTTCCCCTGCAACCTAATGGCAAGCAGGGTTCTGGAAAGTCTGATCAAGGTTTAGATTGAAGCAGACCTGACAAAGCAGGGCAAAGGAAGAATAGAAGGTCAGGTCCAATACAGAGCAATCCTCACAGTCCCAGACTCAGAAGTCAGATATAGATATCCAATTAGTCCAGACTTTTGACTACCCAGGACAGACTAGGCCTCCCAAAAACAACTAGCCCCAATTTGGACCTCTTAGAGTTCTTGTAGAAAAGACTAGCTCTCCTCCTGGGAAAATGCTGCCCCCAAAACCAAATTGTCCTTGGCGAGGTAGGAGGACAAGATATTGCAAAACCCAAATGGCACCTCACAAAGGGGTTGGAGGTAAAGAATGTATCTCCTAATTTTGGACAACACTAGGTATATCTCCTCTCCCATGCTTACCTACCACCTACTGTCAAAACAGTAAGAGAGAAATTGTTGTTCAGAAATGGGCACTAAATTACCTCTTTCTTGCTGCTTGCGGTTCTCAATGATGCCAGGTGTATCCACAAAAGTGACTCGCTCCAGAAGCTTGTGGGGAACCTCAATGCCAATGAGCTTCTCTAGGAAATTCTGCCCAAACTTCTCCAGGGGTGAGAAGGACCTGGCACTGTCAGCAGCCATGACAATACCTTCAATGGTTTTCAGCTTAGGCCCATGCATGAGGACTGTGAACTCAGAGGTGGTGGGCTCAGCACCTACACATAGGTGAAATTATACAAAAACAGTAATCACTGCAAAACAGACTACTACAAAGAGTGTAACGATGGGAAAACAAGAGATTTACTGTAAGAACAGGATATGTTTGCTAAATCAGTGGTTTTTAAATTGTAGTAAAATAAAGATAATACAGACTTTATCATTTTGAACATTTAAGTATACAGTTCAGCTGCATTAAGTACACTCACACTGTGCAACTGTCACCATCGTCTATTTCCAAAACATTTTTATCTTCCCCAACTGAAACCATCCCCTAAACAGTAACTCTTTTTCCCTCTTCTTCTCCAGCCCCTGGCAACCTCTATTCTATTTTCTGTCTCTGAATTTTCCCACTGTAGGTATCTCATATAAGTGGACTCACACAATTATCTTTTTGTGTCTGGAAGGTTTCACTTAACAGAATGTCTTCAAGGTTCATCCATGCTGTAGAATGTATCAACTGTGTCTGATTCATTCCAGTAACATGTGTCATTTTCTAAGGTTGACATTCCACTGTATGGACAGTCCACATTTTGGTTTCCGTACATCCACTGATGGATATTTGGGTTGTTTCCACTTTGGGGCTATTATGTATAATGCTGCTATGCACACTGGTATAGCTGCCAATTTCTTGTATGTGGTTTTAATTACTAGGTTGAAGATTACATTAATGTTTTAATTTTTCATAGTGATTTTACATATGGTACTCAAGTACTAACAATCACACACACAAATCTCTTACCTGTATAGAGCTGGTAGCGAGTATTTTCCAACCCAAGGAGGTAGTTTATCATGGTGGATTTACCAACACTCCATGGTCCAAGAAACAGCACCATTGGCTTAGAAGTAATTTCCCCATCTGTGGACAACAGAAAATAAAAATGTAAGTGAACTAACATAGGTTCTCATTATAGGAATGACACTGTTCTCTCAAGCCCTCCACATCCCTTGCTATCATCTAACTGAGTTGTGGGATTCTATATGGACCAAACAGTGTGCAGCATTCAAAACCAAGCACTGATTTAAAAGATGCCACAAGGTAGGTGTGGTGACAAATGCCTGTAATCTCAGCACTCAGGAGGCTGAGGCAGAGGATGACAGTGAGTTCAAGGCCAGCCTGCACTACATAATGAAACGCTGTCTCAAAAAAAAAATATGCCATAAGTCCTTATTTTGACCTTGCCCAGATCCTTAGTGCTTCTGCCTACACCAGAAAGAAGTGAATTCAACACATAGTGGCTCAAGGTCTCACTCTGGGCCAGGACTCTTGGTTAAATCTGGAAGATAATAGTTCATTGAAAGAATACCCCTGACTGACATGTTTTCAAATTTTGTTTTTCTTTTCTTTCTTTCTCTCATTGAAGTAAAATAGGGTTAAAAAAAGAGTAAGGATGATAAAAAAATAAAAAGAAGAGATTCCACATGGAGAGAAGTTGAAACCTTGCTACTGTACTGATAAGGAGAAAAAAGGACAAAGAAGCTTATACACAACCTTGCACCATCCTGAAATCTTGCTCTGCTTGTCCCTGGCTCCAAAGCTCAGCTCGCCTGGATACTGTGGCTCTCCTAATCACCAGTTTACACTCAGCCTAACCCTGAGCTCTAGAGCCAGTCTCAAAAATTAGACTCCAAAGTCCATGACAAATGTGCCACTGTCCAAGATCAAATTCTGAACTGGATGTGCTTATATTCTTAGGACCTGCATCCAAGCTCCAAGCCTTCCAGAGAACTTGCTGGGAAACATATCCAGCTTGGACCACTCCATCCAGGATCCTTAAGGAAAAAACAAAAATTCTCTAGTGCTTTCAAAAGTTGGGACAGTGAGTTGAGCTTTCAAAAATAGGACAAAATTTTTTAGTGCTTTCAAAAGTAGGAATGTAGTTAAGTGATAGAGTGCTTGCTTAACATGCAAAAGGAACCCAGCATCTCAAAAAGGAAAAAAATGACAGAGTAAAGAGAGGCAAGGAAGGACTCTTGAGATGTGGTCAATCTTGTTGCTGACTTGAGGCCTCTTACCTATCAGCAATTATCTAACCAGTCAGCTTGGGACATTGAGCACCTAGTTCTCTAGAACTTCTGGTCTCCCTGAGCTTGTAGACCTCCTTTTTTTGTTCTTTTTTTTTCTTTTTCCGTACTAAGAGTAAAATCCAGGGAGCACTACGTTACATCTCCATCGCTTTTAAAAATGTGTTGTTGTTGTTGGTTATTTTTTGATACAAGTTCTTACTACACACTCCAGGCTAGCTTTGAACTCATGATTCTCCTGTTTCAATCTCCCAATTACTAGGACTATTAGCATGCTTTTCTCTTTTTTTGAGACAGGATCTCATTAAGTTGCTCAAGGCGGCCTTGAATTTACAATCCTGCCTCTGTTTCCCAGTTAGGTGGAATTACAGGCATGTGCCACCACATCAGCTTTTTTCATTTATTTCTTATACTTTTATTTAATTTCTTAGCTCAAAATCAGAAGTATAAAAAACCATACATAAAAGACTCTCATCCTTTCCTGAATCATATCATTACCTCTATAGATAACAACTGTTGCTTATTTATTTCCTGTTTTCTTCCTTCCTTTCTTTCCTTGTGTTATGGTTTGTGTCTGGGTATGCCCCCAAAGCCTCATGCAGTCATGGAAGCAGCTGAATCTAGCAGCTGTGATTGGTTTGATGTCTAGCACTGGGATTGGCAGTATGAGTGCTGCACCTGGCCAGCGGCAGGTAGCCGACATACAATATAAGGAATGGTAGGTGGTGTGCTTTTCCCTTTTTTCCCTTTTTGCTCTTGTCACTTGCAGCTGCTATAAACAATTGCTCCTGTGCAACACCAGCCTATCCTGGAGCCAGATGAGTATGGTCAGACCTACAAAAACTGAAAGCTAAATAAACCTTTCCTTCCCTAATTTTGGGCATCAAGTATTTTGTCTTAGCAACAAGAGAAAAGTAACCAAGACAATTTGACACCAGTAGAGTAGGGTCATTGTTGTGACTGTACCTGACCATGTAGTTCAATAGCCTTTGGGAATAGTTTATGGGAAGAATTTGGAAAGGTTCAGAGTCATCACCTAAAAGAGTAGCCCTGGGATAGATTAAGCTGCTCTGTATGGGACACTGTGGTCAGAGCTCAGAAGACCAAAAAGGGAGAAAGGACCGCATTGGTTGCTGGACTCCAGACAATATGTGTTATGGCTTGAAAGAAAGTTTGTCTGCATTTTGCTCATTTCCAGAGACTTTGCCTGAGATGGAAATTAAGAGCAATAGGCTAATTAATCTGGCAAAAGAAATTTCAAGGCAGTCTACTGTTGAGGCAGTGGCATGGCTATGGTTGCGGACTTTTTGCCAGATTTATGTTGCAAATCAAGAACAAAGAGCCCAGCAGGGTAATTTAAAACACTGTGAGTTTGGCCATAAAGAAAGCTTCAGTAAAGCTGTGGACTATAAAACGGAGCTAAGATCTCAATTGCTAATAAGGAACAGAAAAATTTAAAAGATGGCCTGTGGGTTTTATGGGAAGAGGAAGTGGGTCTACATGCTTTGCAGCCTCAAAACTACAAAAGTGAACAAGACTGCTTGGAGGAGAAAGCTGCAGAGCACGATGTTCCATAATGGCATGCAGAGGCCACATGAGGTTCCAAAATGGAGGTGGCCATACCAGGTTCCAGAATGGCAGCAGCATAGAAAATCTCTTCCTCACAATCAGATTCAGAGTGCTCAGCAACCCAGGCACTCGACCCCTATAGACAAGATAGGAAAGCCTGGTGACTGCTCCAACTGGCAGCATCCACATGATGCTAATTTTAAGTGCATGCAGAATGCACAAGTTTGGAGGTTAAAAAGGCTTCCATCCTGATTTCAGAAGGCCTGGTAGGCCTGGCAGTGTCCCCTTGGAGGACAGTATATGAAGCTGTCAATGTTATGCAAAAGGTACAAGGAAGACCCCAGAAGTTTGGAAAAGCCAGGATCATGGATTGTCTAAGGAAAGCTATAGAAAGTTGGCCTAAGAGAAAAGCTGTGAGAGCTACAACCACCAAAACTGTCTTGGGGGTGGAGTCACTCAAACTTTTTGGAGCTTACAACCAGATTGCTTCAGGTGCTAAGTATGGAACTCCAGGACTTAATGTTTGCCCTGCTGGATTTTGGACTTGTTTTGGTTCCAATCATTTGTGTCCTGTTTATGACTTTTTAAATAATAATGTTTATCTTGTATCATTATATGTTGGAAGTGTTTAACCTTGTTTTCATTTGCACAGGGGGTTACAGCTATGGATTTGCCTTACATCTTGGAGGAGACTTGAAACAAACTTCTCAGCAATGCTGAAACTGTTAAGATTTTGGCAACTCTTGGAGATGGACTAAATGTTTTTTATATAAAGGATGTGTACGAGTCTTTGGGTGGCCAGGGGTAGAATTTTATGATTTGTATCTGGGTGTCCTCCAAAAGCCTCATGCAGTCATGAAGGTGGCTGAATCTAGCATTTGTGATTGGTTTGTTTCTAGCACTGGGATTGGCAGTATGAGTGCTGCACCTATCCAGGGGTGAGTAACCAGCATACAACATAAGGGAGGGAAAGAGGTATGCTTTTCCCCTTTTATCCAGTTCACTCTTGTTGCTTGCATCTGCCATGAAAGGTTGCCCCTGTGTACCACGCCACCCTATCTTGGAGCCAGATGAATATGGACTGAAACCTCTAAAAATTGAAAGCTAAATAAACCTTTCCTTCCCTAATTTTAGGCATCAGGTTTTCAGGTATCAACAACAAGAGAAAAGTAACCAATATACTTTCTTTCTTTTCCCTTTGGATACAGAACCTTACTGTGTCACCAGACTGGCCTCAAACTCCCAGGCTCAAATGATCCTCCTGTCTGAGCTTCCTAAGCAGCTGGGACTACACACACACACACACACACACACACACACACACACACACACACAAACACTACTACTGCCTGGTAGCAGTACTAGTTTCTTACATAGTGTTCCAGATATCTTAATGAATATATAAAGTATTTATAGGTATTTTAGTCCCCTGCTTTGTTATATACATAGTAGTACAGTATACTTCCTTTTCAGTGCTCTGGTTTTCTTTCTCTGGGGTGAAGCCAAGTCCTAAAAGATGTCTTGTAAATGGAAGGCACACATACATTGCCTGAAAGCAATACTTTGTCCCTGATCCCTCTTTCCCTTTCTGTAAACACATATACACACATGCACACACGTGGGAAAGCGTGAGAGAGAGAGGGAGAGAGACTGATCTGACTGTGGGCAGGCTGAGGGTGACAGGAGTCCCTGGTTATAGCTATAGATACTTCAGAGAAAACTTCTTTACACATGCCTCAGTGACACCAAGCTGGACACTGGACCTGAAAATTGACCACAAACCACAAACCAGGGCTGCCCGTGCTGCTGTTCCAGCTCTCCACAGCAGGGGGCACTGCGGCCATATGTTGTCCACCAGGAGCCTGAGGGCCCACAGATTTGGCAGGAACTGGTAAGAGACTACAGGAAAAGAGCCAGGTCCACAGAGTGAGGCCAGGAGCCAGGCAGGCCTTCACTCCACAGCACCTGGGCAGCAGCCTCCTGGCCTCTGCTGCTTTAACATCAGTCCCTCCTAGATGAGCTACACTACTGGGTAGAGCTGGGAGAGCAGACAGTGCAAAGGACAAAGGAGAGCCTTCAGAGACTGTGTAACCTCACCAGTCTACGTTCAAGAAACAGGTAGGACAGGGTAAGTTCTAGGAGAAGAAATAAAAAATCATAGTCCTCATTCCAGCTCTGTAATCTAGGTAACCCAGCACTTGTCAGACATCCACTCTATAGGCATTGAGAAAATTAAGTAAAATAATATGGAAATATCCAGTTAACAGAAGAAGAGATTTGTGATGTCACTTACAATAGAAACAGCAGTAAGGGCTGAGGGTGTAGCTCAATGGTAGAGTACTTACCAGGCATACTCAAGGGCCTGGCTTCTACCCCTAGCACAATCAACCAATCAAAATAAGGTATCACTGCAAAAGATTTAAAAGGTGGGTAACAATAGCTAGGTATGTAGCTCAGTGATAGAGTGCTCGCTGGCATGTATGAAGCCCTAAGTTCCATCCACAGCACCACAAAAATGAGTAACACTGAAACACAACACAGCTGTGGGGGAACACGTACTCTCATCTATCATTTTTGTGAGGGCAAACTGATATATTTAAGGCAATTTGGCAGCAACTATCAAAATGTTTAACTCCAGTGTTCCATTTTTAAGAATATATCTAACAAATGTACTTGCATAAAATATATGATTATAGTCGTGTTTGGAACATTTTTAAAAATGGAAAATGAGAAGTATCCTATTCCCTCAGGAGAGGACTAATAATACAGAGCTTGGTGCATTCATGCAAGACAGAACCAAGCAGCCACCAGAAAGAACAAGGGAGACCTACACACACAAACATACACACTGGCACACATGCACATATAGTCACACATGAATACACAGCATAAAATAATCCTATTTGTGTAAAATAAAAAGACAGTTTTTATATTCACATATCTAGAGGAAATTTTTGCAAGCATTCACAAGAAGCTACAACAGTGGGTATGTCTGTGAGTGGAATTAAATATGTAGAGAGCAATGAAGGAATTGTTAGTTCAAATACTGCAGTATTTGAAAAAACTTGTAGCAAATATGTCCTATTTTTTGGTATTTTGAAAACAAATTTTTTTTAAAAAGACAACTAATTTTTAGAAGAATCCAAGTCCAGGAAAAACCACTCAGGAAGAACTTTAATAAGGAAGCCAATCAGAGGACTCAGAATGATGCACTAAGTAAACAGAAAACCCTTGAAGGCTCTTGAGTTCAGGGATTGAAGCTGGCATCACTACCCTGAAAATCAAAATCTATAGTACGGAGACATACATGTTTCACAATAAAATGCTGTCTGTCACAGTGAAACGCTGTCAAACTCTCACATACTTTTGAGTATGATGAGGATGCTTCACAGGACTGAGGTCCCTGTCCTTGACAACTCTGCAGGAGACCTTGGACCTAGCATCCTGGTGGTATCCATGGAGCTTGTGAACCTGTGTGTGGGCACCATGCTGGGTCAGAGATGCAGCCCCCTACTCCAGACCCATGCTGTACCTGTGATCTCATGCTGCCGGAGCTCATTGTATTTGTAAGATTGCTCCAGAGGCTTGATAGATGAATGGTAGATCTTTCGAAGCCGCTGTAACACCGCTAAGGGTGAAAAGGACAGGGAAGAGGATCAGACACGGTAGATTCCAGGTGGGTCCTCTACTAGGGAGCAATCTTATACCCAAGAGGTTTTACCTCTCTACCTGGGACAGGTCAGGGAGGTTTACAGTGAGAAATTATGCAGTGTCATGCAGAGAGCTGGTCCATATCACAATCTTCTGAAATCTTCAAACTAAAAGCATTCCTGCCAACACCCACAAAGTTCCCATAGCTATTTTTTAAACCTCTCACCTCTTTCCCCACCTGACCAGTATGTCTAAAAACACCAGTTCAGCCCATAGTTTGTCTAAAGTCTCTTTCTTGGTAAGATAAGAATTTCATCTCTCTCTCTGCTGCCCTCTTCAGCTTGACCCGCCCTAGGCCCAGAAGGCAAAGGGGCTAGTTACCCAGCAAGTCTGCTAGTTACCCAGCAACTCTGCAGCATGGCAGCCACCTTGGCCCTTGCACATCACTGCACTGGTGATCCTCAGAGGACCTAGAAATGCTCAGATATCCTCGTGGGACAGCACAACCCCAGGGAACAGCTGGAAGCTGCTGGATATTAGCACAAGAGAGTGGTAATGGGATCCAGGGTTAGGCTTGAGAGACTCTAACCTTCACTCTGCCCTCTCTGATTCTGAGCCAAGAGCAAATCACTGCCTTGCTCTGAGCTTAACTAGCTCATTGGTTTAAGAGGAGACAAGTGTCACTAAAATCCTTGGGTTATTATTAGGATGATATCAAACATAAAAGAGATTCACAAACCAAAAATCAAAGCAAATGGGATGCATTGTTAGTAACTATCTTCTTGGCCAGAGTACAGAGGCTGGCACATCCTTTGGGTGGCAACCCTGGGATTTGCCCTCAGCACTTAGGCAGGGCCCTCTGCTTGGATTACTGTCCTCCTCCTTACTGACCTGCCTCAGCCCTGCTCACAGAGCCTCCTCATGTGGCACTCCATCTCCAGGGCTCTCCTCCTCTCTATGGTCCTCTGTAGCTACAGGCCCATCACACTCTGGCTCCCAGTCACCTCAGAGGTTCTACCTAGCTGCCACCCATGGGACTAACTAGGCCTGTCTTCCTCTGTGACTTACCTGAAAAGTCATCAGCTGGCTTGTCCTCATCTAGCATCAAGGTCTTTTCAATGTGGGAGCGGTCCCTCATTGGGGCTTCTTCACTCACATCCTCTGTCTCTTCTGCAGAGAGAAGCAGACAACAGGGTCAGGGCAAAATTCTAGGCCTCACATGGAATGGAATAATTCAAGTAGGTGCTTGAACTGAACTGTCTTCTGCCTTTAGGATGCAATTTGAAAATCCAAATGCAGTGTTTAAGCATCACTGTCCATTTTATTTAACAAAAATTTATTGTGCCCCAACTACATGCCAAGCATTAAGCATCATGCTGGAAATACAGTGGTACTCACACATGCACAGCGCCTCCCCTTGGTTGGGAGGGAAATGATAAACGGTTTTTTAAATATTTAGTAATTACCAAGCATGGTGGCACATGCCTGTAAACCTAGTAATCTAGGAGGCTGAGACAAGAAAATTGCAAAATCAAGTCCAGTCTGGGCAACTTAGAAAGACCTTATCTCAAAATAAAAAAATAAAAATTTTAAAAACTAAAAAGGACTGAGGATGTAGCTCAATGCAAAAGTCGTGGCTTCAATCTCCACTACTAATAAAAAGATGAAATCAAATAATAAAATAAAAATAAATATTGTGAGCAATGAGGTAACTAAGGAGAAAAAGAAATCCCACAGAAAACTTCTTGTGTAGGAGTTAATTACTAAAGAAGGGGAACTTTTGTTTTTGTTTTTGCAAAGAGCTAATCAAGAGTTTAGCAAGAATAAGGAAAAAGCCTATGGCCAGCCAGAGGGATGGAGATCTGGGTGCTGGAGAGCTGAAGAGGTCCCCAGGGGCTGACCACACAGCCTTGCAGGTGCCACCGCAGGAGTTTGTATCTCATCCCAAGGCAACAGGCACCCACAAGGGGCTCTAGGTAGACAACTGTCTGATGCAGTGAACATCTTATAAGCATCACACTTGGTAGAGGGAATGGGTAGAGGGAACTGCTGCAGTGCATTGTGTGGGTTTGTGCATGTGCATGCACTGAGGGGTTAAGCATCTTTCTGACTGAACAAACAAGAAATGTCCATGCCTGCCACCAGCTTCCAAGCAGAGAATGTTGCTCACATCAATGGGTCTCTAGACTGACAGCTTTTTCTCATAAACTGTCTGCTCAGAGGAGGGGGTGAACTTAGACCTGTCGGGCAGAGGGAGGCCAGTACCAACATGCCTTCTGCAGTATTTCAGATTAAACCCAAACAGCCCCAGACCCAGAATTAGGAGGCTCAGAGAAAGGGGGGAGAGCATACTGATTGCAGGTCCACATCCTTTGTGGAGGGTAGAAGAGATTGGCAGAGTACAGACATTAGATTTTACAAGGAAACTTGTGAGGAAGCTATTTGGGAACGTGAAGACCTGACCCCAACCTCCACACTGAACACCTGACTTCTGCTTTGGCCATGCGCATAGATGAAGCACCCGCCATGTCAGGTGTATCCCTACTGCTGCTATTGCTTTGGTCTCGTCCTCTCTCCCTCTCCTGTTTCCTAATCATTTGAGGGCTTCTCAGCTTTAGGTAGGCATTCAAGGGACATTGGTGGTCACAGCCTGAGTTACCACAATCCTGACCCCTCCATCCCAGTTCCCCACACCTCATATAGATCTTCAAAGGGAGACAGGTACTAGGTCACAAGGTATCACTCAGTTCCCAACTCATCCCCACCAACATCTTTCCATCAGGCAACTTGGATCTTGAACTCTATCATCAGTCCTTTTGTCCCCTTGTCCTTAAAGAACTGGTCCATATTAAAGTAGTGACTCTAGTGGGGAGGTCCCTGAGGGCCCAACTCAGAAGTAGCCAGATTCCTCTGGACCTTCTCACTTGGTCCCTCTACAGTGGAGGTAAGTGGCTGAGGGCACTTCTCCTAGCCAGTGCCCCCGCTGGAGCCTTACCCCAAACTGGGACTAGCCAGAGGCTCTCCTGCCCACCCTGATCCTGCCTGTCCCACTACATACAATAATTTCATGATGAATGCAGCTGCCCAAGGTGCTGGGAATGCCTTGACGGATTAATTCCTACCCTGTGGAGCAATTATGGGGTTCCCCCTTCCCTGGTGTCCCTCTTCCGGCTCCTCTGCTTCAGGATCCTGGGTCTTGTCACCCTCAGACTCTGAATTCAATTCCTCTGTGCTGAGTTGAGGCCCTTTCTCCTCATGACCTGTGGTTCCTGTTGCTTCTTGGGGCTCCCCAGCCTCCTCAGAGACATCCCCTTCTTCTGAGCTACCCCCATCACCGCTGTCTTCTTCGGACTCTTCTTGGGATGGAACTTCTCCATCCTCCTCACTTTCACCTTCTTCACCACCTGCTTCTTCTGAGGAGGCCTCATCAGGGCTCTCCGCAGGCATTCCTGGCTCCTGGGCCTTAGCAGGGTGGTCCTCCTCAGTCTCCCCAGGCTTGGAGCTCTGGGCACCCTGAGGTTCTTCACCAACCTTTGTGGCTGGGCCAGCCTCCTGAATGGAGCTTAACTTCCCCTCGTCCTCAGCCCCTTCCCTGGCTTCTGTATCCATATCAGATTCCAACTGTAATCCCACAGCTGAGGCATCAAGGGCTCCATCTCCCTCTGTGGGCTGGGACTGACCTGCAGCCCCCTCCCCACTTTCTGTGCCTCTATCAGCCTCCAGTGCTTCTCCTGCAGATGTGGAATCTCCATCTAGCTCTGCAGGCTGGTGATCAGGCCCATGGTCGCTCTTGCCTTCTGCCTCCAAGCTATTGACCTGGGGTGAGAGCTGGTCCTCAGGCCCCTCTCCAGCATTTGTATCCAAGTCAGCCTCTGACTCTTCTGCAGATACTACATCCCCATCTCTCTCTGTGGGCTGATGATCAGGCCCTGAATTTCCCCCACTTTCTGCCTCTAAGGTGTGGAACTCTTCACCCTGTAAACTAGGAAGGGCACCCTTGACTTCAGGTTCTGCTGCCCCTGCTGCTTCTTCCTGCATGGGGCTGTCTCTTAGGACTTCCTCAGCTTCTTGAGGAATCTCACCACTCCCCACTTGTCCTTCTGTCTCCCCACTGACAGCTCCTGCTGTGGGGAGCCCCAGCCCAGCCTCCTCCTCCCCTCTTCCTGAATTGAGCTTTAGCCTCTCCTCTTCCACAGGCCCCTCATCCTCTCCCAGAGGAAAGATGCCTGCTTCTGATGGGCCCTCCTCTTCCTTCCCGGGCCCTGGAACATCCCCATGTGGAGGTGATTGTGCAGCTGAGGCATTGGCAAGGCTGGCTTCAGACTCGGAGCCAGGGCTGGTGGTAGTGGGAGGGGCCCCGGCGGTGGTCTGCTCTGAGCTCTCAGCCTCCCTGCTGTTTGTGTGGTGAAGGAGCCGATTCTTGTCTTGAAGGGCCGCATCTGCAAAAAGTGCCCTTTCTTTCTCCTCTAGACTTGTGTTTCCAGCAGAGAAATGATTCTCCAACAAATTGCCAACATCTTCTGTGCCACCCGAAGCAGAGACTTGCAGTTCTAAATGATTAGAACATGATTGGTCAGTTCAGAGGGTTGGCACTTGTTCTGCCTCTCAAAAGAGTCTGTATCAATCTATCTTCCTCTCCCGGGAGTGTGGTATGTACCTGAAATGCAGTGCTATGCCTCCTTCCCTGGGTCTTTACCACCATCTGCCTCCTACACAAGATGTGGGGACCATGGATCAGGAAGTTAAAGGACTGACCTATTGTTCATCACTAAAGGAGTTAGCAGCTGTACTAACCTGAAAGCCCCCACATCTTGGCCCTGACCTTCAAGTCTCCCTACTAGGTTTTAATGACTGAGTATGGATGGAAACTTGGGTGAGCCCTTCCAGTCCTTCATCAGCCTTGCTGATGGGCAAGTGCAGGCCGGCTCATGAGGAGGTACTTCCAAGATAGGACAGATGCTTATGCTTTCCACTCGTTGTCAGTTCCTAGAGTCATTAACCAGCATGCTTTTTATACCGCTATCGGCAAAAGCGTGAAAACAGGTGTTTGCAGGCCAGATAATCTTAGGTTACATAGCAAAGTACTTAGTGGATTACTTGTAGCTCTCAACCCTATTAAGTCACACATCTAACCCTGTCCCCTTAAGGACACACATTTGCTGGCTTCAGTATCCCAGATTAGAGGGTGCAGGGCCTGAGGAGGAGATATCCAAAACAGGCAGGATCTGTGCTTCCTATTGGTCTCAGCCAACCCCTTCTAAGGGGATCATTTTTTCAGGGCCTAGTGCTTTATTCAGAGATCAGAGGGCACAGAAAGCGCAGAATGAGAGAGAGAGTACAAGGATGCAGTATTTGCCAGAGACCCTTGTGAATTGTCAAGTTTAATATTTTTGGATAAGGAAGCAAGAGTTGGGCTTGTTCCTTCTGCCCATCCTGCCCAGACTGGGTTCTGTCTCAAGATGCCTGCCATGAGGGACTGGGGATTTAGCTCAGCGGCATAAGCACCTGCCTTGCAAGCAAGCAGTTGTGAGTTCAATCCCCGGTACCAATAAAAAAAAAAAAAAATCCAGAAGATGCCTACCATGGAGGACAGTATATAGTTATGGAGAGAGGGAACTATAAGGGTTCTACTTGGGTGGCTGAGATAATCCCCAACTCCCCTGATTCTCAAGGTCTCTTTCTCTACCTCTGCTGAGTATAGACATCACCTCTTTGGCCAAACCTGGTACTCCCATTTCTGCCTCCCATGAAGAAAAGCCTTGCTGAGCTAGGTGTAATGGTGCATACCTATAATCCCAGCTAGTTGGGAGGCCAAGGCAGAATGAGCGCCCAGCCTGAGCAACCTAGCAAGAATCTGTCTCAAAATAAAAACAGGAATATGAATGTCAGTCAGTGGTAGAGTTCTTGCCTAGTATGTGTGAGACACTGGGTTCGATTCCCAGTACAGAGAGGAGGAAAACCAAAACAAAACAACAACAACAGCAACAAAAACCCACCAGCCTTATGCATCAGCTTTCTCTGGAAGCTGGAATGGGGAATGGGTATTTTCTCATAAGTCCTCATAGACAGCCAGCCTATTGAGTCAAACTCAAAAGCTTTGGGGCTTTTTATTGTAAAGGAGTTCCATATATTAATATATAAAACTCCTCCAAGTACTTTCATGTACATGACCATTTTTAGCTTCCTTTATTACTATCCGGCAGATTTTAGAGACAAATTAGCAACAGTCATTGACCTACCCCAGACACAAAGTCACTAGGTTAGTAAGGGTAACCTTAGTTACCAGAACTGCCAACTCCTGGTCCGTGACATGTTCAGGGAGCAAAAGAGATCCCTTCCCATGGGCACTCCAGCCCCTGTCTACATGTACTTCCTCCCCAGCCTCATGCCTCTGGTTCCTGGATGGCAGAAACTATGTCTTAATTCTGTGCTGCCAGGCCCAGGCCCCTGCTGTCCCACACAAAATGTTAGAGCTGCACAAGAACTATTCAACCTCTGAGTGGGATTTTCATTGTTCAAAGTAGGTGTAGAGACCAGCTCCCTCAGCATCACTTGGGATCTTGCTGAAAATGCTGATTTCAGGCCCCATGCAGGACCCACTAATCAGAATCCACACTTAACAAGATGTTCAGGTGATTTGTTTCCATGTTACATTTTGAGAGGTGCTGACCCTGCACTACCCATAAACCTGCCACTCCCCTGTGGTTCTCAGCACTGCCTGTATGTTGGGATCACTGCTACTTGGTCCCACATTTCTTCTCCTTTCTTGGTGATTCCAATGTAAATAGTACAAAGTACAGCCCCAGCATCAAGATTTAAAAAGAGAAATAACAAAAACAAAACAAATCCCCAATACCGATAAAAAAGAAAAAGACAAAAAAATAAAAATAAAAACAAAACCCTTCAGTAATTCTAACACAAAGTTGCCAGGCACTCTACTGGTGCACGGGCTGAGAGTCAATCATCCCACTTCCCCTATTCCCCTTCTCCTGCACCCCGTTAGCAAATGGGAACCAGAGATCTGAGCATCTCTTGGGAGATTGACCATAGCAAATAAGGGGGATTTCCTTCTACCATCTCTTTGAAGGCAAATATTTTTATTACTGTTTTGCTTTATTCTGATTAATGATACTGCTCTATTCAATATTCTGTTTTGATAAGTTTTATAATGTTCTGTATTTCATTTTATTTTGAAATATATGATTGAAAGTACAACTATTGTGAAAATAATGAGATATACTGTGATACCTCTTAAGTGTTATTCCAGTAACCTGCAGTGAAGTTCTGTACCAATTTCACTACACTGTCTCAGTTGACTTTGTTCTGTCTTGTCCTGCTGTATTTTACTACCTTCAAAATTTAAAAAAAAAAAAAGTTGCCAGGCACTGCAGCTGCTAAACCAAATAATCCTGACCCCAAGATTTTTGGTCATAGCCCCTCCTCTGGGGAATGCCATGTGGAAGGAGGTCTCCTGGAATATGGAATTTGCCTTTGCAATACCAGTGATAGTTGATGGATCTCTCCTGGGGTATCTCGTCATTTCCTTAGGCCCCTTTTGCCCTGTGATGATGATGATGATGATGATGATGATGATGATGATGATGATGGTGGTGGTGCTGGTGGTGGGTATGGTGATACTGATGATAGTGATAATGATGATGGCAGCAGTGATGATGATACTGAGCCAAATGGACTCTAGGTCTGACCGCCTATAACATTCCTGTTATTCTCAAAAGATCTTCTGTCCTGATGGGAGTGAGAGACCTGCACTAACAAAAAGGGCATTTAGACCCCAGATGTTGAGGGTTTACCATGATCCTCACACTATTGTATACTTCCACTCCTGGACCCCATACAGGAAGTATATGTACATTTATATTCATACCCCTCTTCCTTATTTTTTGTGGGTGTTTTGGGGTGTGTGTGTGGCTTTTATACCTTAGTTCCAAGCTGCCCCTGACCTGCTGATAAACAATTTGGAGTGAAAAAAGATGATAGCTTTATGCCCTGTGACCTTCCATCCTTGTGCTAAAAATAACTTTTCAACAGAAAGTGTCTCCATGAAACAAACTGTCCTATTGGCTCCCAAAGCTTGATCTCCAGGAAGCAGCTGTGCCATTGGACCCAGATCTCTGCAGGGAGGCAGGTCTGAGGCCCAGGAACCCTCCCTTTACACTCAGCTCAATTTCCTTAAATGCAGGGCTGGTGTCTTTCCTTCCCTCCATAGCTTCTTGCTGAAGCCCTGTTGGTTCTAGAGCAGGAGGTGTAGGAAAGGCACAGGGACACTTGGGTGGGTTATGTCCTGGCAAAATGAGTCAGGGCCCATTCCTGGACATGAAGTACCATACTGTATGTGCTACTGCCAACACAGCTATCCAATCCCTGAATGGGCTAGGGTGCTGATATCAGGGCACCTGAATAGCAAGCTACCCCCTCAGTCTCAGAGACCACGGAAGGCCCAAGCCTCTGACATGGAGCGCATCCAGCCCCAGCCACACCCAGGCAGAGCAAACACAAAGCCAGTCCTGCTTCTCTCTAGATGTCCACTCTGCCATCAGCTCTCTTTGTGAGTCAGGTTTCCAGCTACTCCCACCAGCCTCACAGCCCCACCTGTCACCCTGGGTCTCATTTCTCTCTCCTCTCTCTACCACCAACCAAGCACTGATTTTGTTTCCTGAGCCCTTCACTTGTTCCAAAACACTTTCTATGTACTCAAAGTAATGGAGTTGCCAAGGGCCTGGTGAGTCTAACTGGAAAAAAGCAAGCTCTGACCTTCAGTCTATGACTCTCAGACCAGAGATCCTTCTGCTCCCTGGAGGTTAACACATCATGCCCCAAAAAGTGCTAGAGTTACATGGAAATGCCTGGAGGGAAAAGAATCCAAAACATTCTAGGCTTGTGCCCCCTCATACTTGTTCCCTCTTGGATAATCTGCCCTACTTTTTAGAGGGCCAGAGGTAAAAGGAAATCCCATCTTTTGGTCTCTTCCTAAAAATACCTTCCTTGAGTGTCTTTTCCATCATTTTCTCCAACTTTTTAAGAAGCTCCCTTATGGGGCCAGGGATTTAGCTCAGTGGCATAGGCGCTTACCTGGCAAGTGCGAAGTCCTGAGTTCGATCCCAGGTACCAAAAAAAAAAAAAAAAAAAAAAAAAAAAGAAGAAGAAGAAGAAGAAGAAGCTCCCTTATGGAAACTTTTCACTCTGCCAATCCACATGTACAGGGCTCTGAACTAGTTTGTATCTCATCCTCATTGTGACTTCAATTTTCCAAGGTACTGTATTTTATCATGTTCTTACTCTTGTTTTGTTTTGTTTTTGAGGCAGGGTCTGACTATGTAGTCCAGGCTGGCCTTGAACTCACTATGGCCTTGAACTGAGAGCTCAACATGGCCTTGAACTGAGAGCAATCCTCCTGCCTCAACTTCCCAAATTCTGGGATTATAGACAAGAGCCACCATACCCACCTCATATTCTTAATCTCTAATCCTCCTCACAACTCTCTAAGAAAAAATGTAGTCTTATCAAATGTGGAATGGACACAGAACAAAGC